TCGAGGCTATGTAGTCTCGATACTCACAGCGTCGTTAAATAACCACCTTAAAAATAAACGTGTTTTCATGACTTAGTCACATATTTACAGTCAGATATTAAAGTTATGTCGTTGGTTCGTGAATGGATATATTTAAGATAGAAGAACCAACTCAGGGTGCCAGAAAATAAGATTCATTTTCGAGTATCCTATAGGCACTCAGGGTGCCACAGTATAAAGATCATTCTTGAGGACCCTATAGGCACTCAGGGTGCCACAGTATAAAGATCATTCTTGAGGACCCTGTAGGTGCTCAGGGTGCCACAGTATAAGGTCCAGTCTCAAGTAACCTATAGGTGTTGACTTCTTTACTGTCACTGTTGCGCAGCACATTAATCACTTTGTTAATCAAACGAGTGATAAGCACCTCGGTGGACATAGTCCGTTTCTGCACTCTAACTTCATCATGTTTGCCTAGCTGTCACGCGGAACACACGAACAGAAAGACTGGACCGATTTCAAAGATCTATTTATGACTTACTAATTTATTTATTTGTCCCTTTATATCTTTAATTATATTTGTTTCATTGCAGGCTGGACTTCATCTACTTAAACTCCACGCAGATCTACATAAATTCGAGGTAATTTTGGAACAGGTTGCACGAGGAGAAGAGGATCGTCTGGCTATAAAGCACATGATGGTCTCTACTCGGAAGTTCTTGCACCAGGTAAGATAACCCCTTAAAGACTGGATTTCGGCAAAATAATGTATAAATATTTGGTTCCCACCTCACAAGAAACATATTGTATCTCTGTAGAAAGCAGTCTTCTGGGATTTGGCACCGTGTATATGTGGTGTTAACCGACGTTTCGGAGGAACGTATCGCCTCCATATTCAGGGTAGAAGAAAAAATAATAGATCTGCAAGCGAAGAGACCGTGAGAACCGGTAAAAGCAAAACGTCGGTTAACACCACATATACACGGTGCCAAATCCCAGAAGACTGCTTTCTTCATAGTCACCGCCGTGAAAGCCTCAAATCTTACATATTGTATCTCTGTTACGAAGAGCAGCCGGTTAATGCCTTTCAGGAAAACGATCGATGTTGCTGAGAGATCCTTATGAAACATACAAATACATTCTGTAAGTATAATGCACGCCGGTCACGGTAGGTGGGCGGTCTAAGGCATGCACTGTCTTCGCTCGCTTGGAAACCGGGATCGTGGGTTGGAATCCCACTGAGGGCATGGATGTTTAGTTTGTGTATGTGCGTTTTTCTGTGTTTGTCTACAGGTAGAGGCCTTGCGACGAGCTGATCACCCGCCCAAGGAGTCCTACCGAATGTGTAAGATCTAGAAAAACCTAAGTGAACGGAAAAGTTCATGGAGGCAGGCCTAGGCCCACTGGGGCTGTAGTACCAAGGAAAATAAAAAGTATAATGCAGAGTTTAAGCATGCTAAAGCGGATGGTACATGTAGTAACCGCTGAGCTTTAATTAACTAATTAACTAGATGAAGATGAGTCCCTCTTGAGAAGACGCCAGTCGCCCAGCCGCCTAAAAATTTCCCAGAACTGTACAGAACCCGAAGGTTCATTACCGTGACCACAAGAGTTCTCCACTGGTCACTATTTCCATCTTCCTTAGCTTAGGTCGTTCTTCCAAAGAACCCATCCGAGTCCGAAGCTCTTTTTAATATTCCGTAACAAAATTATTTTTTACGGCGAGGCGTTAACCCCACGCCCAACCCCCAAGCTGGAGTACCACACCTTATTGGCTGTCCGCGACTGCTTATTTAGTATATTTGCAGCTACCCTTCAGCCACCTCCACCATCCGCAACATTAGGCCGCGCGAAGACGTGGTGGCAATGGACCCACTTAACACGGACCTCTGATCTTTAGGGGGTTTAAATGTTCTTTGTACAAAGTGCATGAAGTGAGCATATTGTGAGTTGCAGGTCTGTCTGTCTCCACGTGTCTCATTTCCATAACTAATTAACGACTTAATACGAATTAGGTATTTGATATTTACACTAAAAGATCATATCACCAACTTCTGGGATACGACACCGTATAGTCTGGTACGTATGTTCAACCGTGGTTTCAACCCTGAAGAAGGAAGCAGTATGTTCCTCCTAACCGTTGGTGCCCACCTAATACATGGTGTAATTTCCCAGAGGACTGTCTGCATCGCTGTGCAAACTTGTACACTAAAGTGTGTGCGGAAGGCCGCGCCATAGCTCAAGCGGTTAGTCGCTGGCTTCCCACCTCGCCGGCCCGGGTTCGATCCCGGGTCTGGTCAAGTGGGATTTGTGGTGGACAAAGTGGCGCTGGGGCGGGTTTTCTCAGAGTACTTCGGTTTCCTCTGCCAATCTTCATTCCACCAAATTCTCCATCATCATAATCACACGGGGCAGGTACAGTAAGCCAATCAGTGGCCGCGGTGCCGAGTGGGCCCAGTTGGACTCCACCCCCCACTAAGTGAATTAAAAAAAAGTGTGTGCGGAGAAATTTAATTTAGATTTGTATGCCCTATCAATTCAGCAATCGTTACATTACGTAATACACCGAACTCCCTTCCTTCTTAATGGCCTTTATAAATAGTTTAGTTAATTTCCTGGGGTGGGGTGAGACTGATTCCACTTGGTACGTCGGCCACTAACTGACCTAATGTGGTTGTCCCGGATGACAGATGATGATGATGATGAATGTGGAGCAGTCGGTGGAATGGGAATTGGCATGGGAAACCGAAGTACTGTGAGAAAACCTGCCCCAGTGCCACTTTGTCCACCACGAATCCCTTATGTCCTGACCTGGGCTATAACCCGGGCACCCTCTGTGTGAAGCTGGCGGCTAACCATCTGAGCTACAGAACAGCCATGGCCGTTATAAATAATTGGCACGTGAACGTAAAATATAGACCCCTTCACAACATACGCCTGTGGCATTTATCTGAAAGAGCTTTCGATTCTTGTATAATTAACAAAACACGAGGAACGTTAGTTTAGGCCTCAATTCAACGTACACTGACGGTATAAATTAACACAAGATGAAGCATCATGGGAAAAAAATCTGTGTAAGTTATTATGTAACTCTTGGGACTAAAGGAACCTACTGCCTCCATATTGAGAGCAGAAAACGGGATTTCGAAACGCATACAACCACACAGAAGACTACACGGAATCACAATCCAGAAGACCCAAATCTAAATAAATATCTGTCATGTTGGCAGTTGCAACGGGAGGTAGAGAAGGCGCTTGTGAATCTTGACATCGGAGTCCCAGCGTCGCGCCTGAGAGCCACGAACTTCACTTTCCTAACACCAACCGATCCGACGGCTAGAATGCTACGCGATAGGAGTGTCTTGAACAGGTACCGCAACTATCTTGAGCAGTGGGTCAGACTCTGGTGCGCAAGCGTGACAAGACGTCGGCGACTACAAAGAAAGTGTTTACTACGTCTTCGTAAATGAGACACTACAAATAGCCTAAGCAGCAGGTTCATTCATTCATTCATCAAAGGCACTATAGCCCTTTGATGGGCCCTGGCCTCTACTTCAGTTTCGTAATCATTTTTACAGTCGGTAGAACATTTTGGACTAGTGATCAGCCCGCCGCAAGGCCGCTACCTGCACACAGTACAACACAAACACGGAATAAACGCATACACAGACATCCATGCCTTGAGTGGGATTCGAACTCACGACCCCAACGTTCGAGAGAGCGAAGACAGTTCACGCCTTAAACCGCGTGCCCACCGCGATAAGCGTTTAAACGGCAATACGAGACACAAACTGCTATTAAGATATTTTCTCTTCGGCGACACAGCCTCTTGAAATTCTAGGACTGAGAAGCTTCCACGATCAGCCTGTAACGGTCTTTGGAAAGAGAATCACCTTAACAGGGACTGTGGCTATACAATTATATGGAAACACATTCTCAAACATCTATACCACCAGCAGTAGATAAAACCCATGATCTGAATATCTGTATGGTCCAGCAGCATGGGCATCTTAAGATATAGTGGACACCAGCACCATAAGTCACAATATAAACTCCTTTGCACATTAGTTATATCTCCGCGTTTGATTTCACGTTTAATCTGTACACGTTCTTTTACCCCATATCCAACTTCCACGTGCTACCCTCGCTACTCCGCAACGTACGCAGTTGCTAACATTCGGCATGCACCTGGTTCGAAATGAAAGAATCCACTAAGATTCTAGATCTTACGATACCTTGTAAAGCCACAAATCTGCCATTTTCATTATTTAAGAAACCCACACAAACTGATATTATAATATCTGATAGTTCATGTCATCCATATAAGCATAAACTATCAGATATTAATTACCTACTAAATCGACTACACATGTATCCAATATCTGAAAAAGCAAAAGACACAGAAAGGAACACAATCAAAAACGTACTACACAATAATGAGTATAACACAAACTTAATCAGACAACCACCTCGCACACAAAAACAAAATAAACACACTGATCTTCAGCACAAAAAAACAAACAAACAAAATATGTTACCTTCACATACAGAGGCAAAAACTAGGAAGAATTACTAAGCTCTTTTCAGGATACGTGAAAAGAAATAGCCTTCCGCACACGAAACACAATACAAAACATTAAAAATCCAAACACAAACAGGGAAGTGATATTGACCAAATGAAATACCTAGATTTTCCACTGAAATATATCAGACTAACGTGATGAACATTTACTACCAGACATAAAGAACATATTCATGACGTTCATGACATCAGAAGCAGATACCATGGACGTTAAAACAACGAGCAGGAAGGGAAAATATTTGAATGCCTTGGAAAGGTATCACATTTATAAAATCATTAAAGACAACCTACATATGAATGACACAAATATTGACATACATATTCGAGATCTTACACGAGCTTCACACAAGACAGCAGAACCCCGCACCACTTACGCTACAAATGAGGGATTAAGCACGGTTAGGTACGCCGAACATTCATAAGGTCTTCATACACAGAACGATAAACAACACTACTCCACAGGCAGGGTGAAGAAGCTACAGTCAAAGGGGCATACGTGAGTATAAAGAAGTAATCTAACGCAGAAAACCATAAAATGTAGCAAAATTCACAAAAATAGTAATGTGTTCTTTGCATACTGCACATGATAACTATAGCAACATACTTGGGAACTACACAATGACACACAAACACCCACGCAGCTGCGTAAATAAATCCAAACAAGGAGACCTAAAAGTAATGTCGTTTGGATGAATGGACGACGACCCCAAGCAAAATATTGAAATGTTAACTACATTTTAAATTGTTAACTAGCTTTTATTGATTTTAATTAATGTTAAGGCCTAATAATTCCAAACCATCTTGCTTTCGTTGTCCTTTTGCCGTGACATTCTTTTATTGTAGAAAAAAAAATTGCAAATACTAAAAAGGCCTAGGCAATGCCCATTACTCATCCCTAGCAAGTAGTGAACTCTTCACGTAAAACGGAGTTTGTTGGTACTAGTAGAGGAATCTGAAGTTCTAACGAAAGCCGCTAGATGACAGTGTAAATGTTGAATCAGCTGGGTGCTTAATGGACGAATGGAATTGTTTTGGGTTTATAATTTTTAGACGGTCGCCGATATGGTTATTGCTTTCATGATACAAACTCTGAATCCTAAGGGATGTGACATATTGTATTATAGAGCATTTACTTGCTACAACAGTGGTGGTGCAGATGGGTTTAAAATGAGAAGTGACTACAAATGTAAAGACAATGCTTATTTTTTCCGACCAAACACCGACGAAAAAACTAGCGATCAGTACAGTATACAGAGTTATTTTCGGCCCCCACGGTTGTTCGAAACCTCAGCAGAAAAGAAGGAATTGCTCGAACACATAGCCTGCAAGGTACAAATGCAATATTCAATGAAAGTTAAGCATTCTTTAGTGCCCACGTTGGTACCCAACGATTACAAACAATCACTTGTGAAAGGTATATTTATGGAGCGGAGATGGAAGAAAGAAAATAGTGTGGAAATGCCAATAATATGGCAGGGTGTGCCAGGACTGGGGTTCGTACTTGTGTGCAATAAGTCAGAAAACTATGTACAAGGGCATAATGTTTTGGATGTGATAATCCAACAACTAGAAAAACATTTACAGTTCCTGACAAATCCAGCATTGGCACTGACAATTGTCGAGACCGTGGCGCTGATTGTGAACCAGTTTCTTCCCGGTGGACAGTTATTGTTCATGAATAGTAGATTTGTTAGGCAGTTTGAAAAACAGCTTGAGTCTCATTTGTTCTCAAAATAATTTAATAATATTTTATGCCATGCCTGGTCATGTAAGACCGATTTTACTTCTCTTTGGCATTAATGTCAATATTTTTATGTAATGATTTTAAATGCGATTGTAGTGTAGTTCATTTTAGTTTTTAAAAGCCATTCGGGCACCTTTAAATTGTATTTTACCTTGATAAGAGAAACACTGTGATCTAATGTAATCTGAACCTCATTAATAATAAATTTGTGTTTATAGGGCATTACTAGAAGAAAATGTTTCAATTTCTGGCTTTTAGTGTTTTAATGAAAGCCATAACAATAGGAGCAGATAAAATTCTGAAAATGCATGTTATCACACAATTCTCTATAAAATGTATAATGTAATATACTGTGTTATATGTCTGTCAGGGTGATCTTTCTTGTACAGGAGACAGGGAATTATTATGATGCATCGAGAATGAAATTTGAATATATAACATGTTAACTGTAATGTTAATCAAAATTCGTGATCATTGGTGGATGGATTCAAATACAGTTGGGGGCTGTGAAAAAATGAAATGCTAGATAAATCTTGAACAGATCAGTTTACTGTTTATGTATCCCTTTGTTGCTGTGAAGCTGGCATGTGTATTTAATAATGTCAGCAATTATTAATTAGTAAATGATGTTATGAGCTGGGGGTGATAAAGCAGAAATAATACCTGGAGAATAATCATTCTTTTTCTTCTTGGCATTATCTTTTCATAGGTCTGCTGTCTGCAGTTTCCAGAGTAATTCGTTGTCCCAGGTTCCATCTTACAAATCTTGATATTTCATGATAGAGTCCATGTGTACTTTCCACTTATAGACTGGTCTGTCTGTTTTTCTTCTTTGTGGTATCCAGTGAAGCATATCACATGTTTTGGTTATATCTCTTTCCTTATTTTTTTGATACTGCTATACTCTGTCTTCTGGGTTTCTTGTCACTGATGGAATAAAATCTACTTTTTTGCATTACATTTCATTTCTCACTCTTTTCCTCTTGTGAGATGGATAACTACAGAAATCAGACAAATGTTAAGAATTGTGTAAATTCAGGTAAACTCTTGAAATAAATGTATACTACAAGGAATAACCAAAGGTGATTGTTAAGTCACAGCAGATTGAAACTTTTGAAAATGGTGCAACTGGCAGACACATTCTTCTTCAATTGCTTGCCATTGGCCCTGATCCTGTGATTTTTGTCTCCAATTTCTGACGCTCATTGTCTTCAAATCTTTGTGAACTGAATCCAGCCACCCGATTGCAGGTCTGCTTATTTGTTGAGTACTCTCTGGTTTGCATAGAGTTAACTCCCTGCAGGAGCTCTCCTCCTTCATTGTAAAAAGATGTCCTAACCATCTTAATTGCCCTACTTTTATCACTTTCTCTATATCCAGTTCATTATAAAACGGAGAAGCATCATGATTCAGAATATGAGTAACATATTACAACGCACGCAGCCAAAAAAGGACACATCACAAGACACAGTATACACAAAATATAGGAAGAACGACTCTCATAGTGGAGGAATGATATAATACGCGAGTTTGAAATACGATGTATAAGATGATAAATCTTAACAAATTTTAATATATATAAATTTTATCATAGTACATGAAGAATACACATTTTAAATCATTTTATAAATGACACATGATGGCGAGCAGTGCAATAGTTTAACGTAAATAACACACCTGAGGATGGCACAGTGATGCCGAAACATGTAGTGAAGTGACATGTGAGACTGTGTGCACTAGAAGACGGTCAATACGTACGTATCATGGATGAGAATCAGTGCAACAGGATGCTAAAATACAACATTATGAATAACATTGTTAATTAAAATAAGAGTCTGTGGTCATTTGTGGGGAAGGCAGGTTCTAATCAGAGATTTCGAAGTATGAGTTTTCATTTTGCTGAATTCTCCGACAGAACATCTTATTCTCTGTAGGTGTGGAAGTCGTGGAATCTGTTTGTGACTGTGTTTGGAACAAAGTGCTGAGGAGAAATGTTAGGACTTAAGATAGATGAAGGAGGAAACTGGAGAAATAGTTCATAATGAGGAATTTCACAATCTGGACTCTTCTCCTTATATTCTGAGTGCAATAAAATCAGAAAGGTTGAGATGTACAGGGCATANTCCTTATATTCTGAGTGCAATAAAATCAGAAAGTGAATACTTTGAGGGAAGAGATACATTGTGAGATGGCGTGAATAACAATATATGGTAACTCAACTATTTAGACACATTGTTCCCTGTCGAGCATCAGGTTCAATCACAGGTGACTTCATGTGAGATTTGTGGTGTACTGAGTGGTGTTGGCGTAGGTTTCCCCCCCAAGTTCCTTCAGTTTTCCCTACCAGTGCTTGCATACTCATCTGTCAGTGCAACTTTTAAGTGTAATAGTTCTGACAAAGCAGTCTGTTGGTTGTCACATCTGCAGTCTTTAAGTCTGGGGCTTCATCTCTGATCATATTCTTAGCTGGTTACAGAGTAAAGGAATTGTTCTTATAATATCTTATTGAAATAGATGTGAACAGAACAGAGATGGTTCATATTTATGTTAAATGACATGCTTTCTTATTAATGTGCAATGAGCCCCAAGGCTATACCCAGACTCCATGATTGGGGCTCTGGCGTGTCTCATCCTTACAAACCCTTAAAGAAGGGACCTGCAGAACTTGTTTTAGTTTTCACGCTACTTAAGACTGCAATAAAATCATAATAAACATCTTTCTGGAGTTCATATACCTGCCCCCTGAACACCTTTTGTTTACAGAAAATATTTTATTCCTTCCCAAATCCCAATGCTAAGGCTCCAATGCAAGTTATTGTTCAAATTTAAAGCTTTTGTAGGAACTGGAGTGAGGCTGCCTGATCACGTTCAGAAGGAGTAGCAATGGGATTAGTCTCTTACTGTTTATCAGGGGATGCATGGGCCCTAATTGCTTTGTCACTATCTCTCTGGAAAGTATGAGTTTAGAGGAAGAAGTGGGCTATGTATAATTTATGTATAAGGGGTGGGCCTTCTCGGCCCTTGCACCGCGACCTACAGTGGTCTGTTGTGCTTAAGAAGTGGGATATGTCAGTAGGGTTGGTACATGAGGCTTCCAAACTTCGTACCTCCCACTTAGAGACCAAAGTACCAATCTGTGGAGATGAGTGATTGTTATTCACTTAGGCCTTCTAAACCAATCGATGTTTGTGCTTTTTCTTGTGGAATTCAGTGAAAGGGGGCAGTGGACATCTGATACCACAGATCACCACTGGCCTCAGACTTACAGATAACTTTTTAACAAGTCTGATGCAGACGCCCTCACACTCTGAAATCCATTGGAAATTCAAGATAAACAGTACACAGTGAATCGAACTTTTGCGAAACTAATATTAGTAAGTGAATAAAGTGCTTGGATGTATTACATTGCTAATGGCTCTAAGATGCAAGTGTTGTGTTCTGAGATTTTGTGTGTTTAAACACTGTAAATTTAATTAAGTACATTAATACAAATCTCAAGTCATTCTTGGAAATGATATCATTTTACAGTACTACCAAAGCCCACAGTAACCCTGGTTTGAAGTCCGTCTATCAAAATGCACCCTTGATCCCTACATACCAGTTCGTTATCCAGCAGTATCCCTGAGATTTAAGACTCTTTATGACCTCCTGCCTGCTAGCTATAGCCATTCATCAAGATCCTGCTCGACAAGAGAGGAAGCGATACCAGGACTGCAGAGAAAGCCAATTGTAAATGGTTTTAGACCTTCAGATTTTGTTGCCAAAGAGTTAGTTTCAGCCTTTCTTAAATAACTGTTTGAATGTCACTGGCTGAAGCTGAAAGAGAAGAAGAACCAAGTGACTGATGTTGACGACTGAAATTAAAGCAAATTCTCAAGGGAAGGAAACCCCTTTTATTATTACTGGCACAGAAATGTCTGTTTTTAGAAATTAAACACTGTATTATGATATATCCATAAAAGCAATGTTATAAACTGAATCGGTACATTGNGAGTGGCCATTCTTTTTCCTTGGCACTAAAGCTCCAGTGGGCCTAGACCTAGCTCCATGAACTTCTCCGTTCACTTCGGTTTTTCTAGATCTTACACATTCGGTAGGACTCCTTGGGCGGGTGATCAGCTCGTCGCAAGGTCTCTACCAGTACACAAACACAGAAAAACGCACACACACACACACGATCCCAGTTTCCAAGCGAGCGAAGACAGTATATGCGTTAGACCGCTCGGCTACCGTGACCGGCTGAGTGGCCATTAATTAAGAAGATTCCCCATTAATATTCAGCGTGCATTTTTGTTTCCATAATCAGAGTTACATAATCCAGCCCATCCCAGACTCCTTGGTTCTCTACACTAGTTTTTCTGAAATGGTTTTCCCTGGAACCCTGGAATCTGTCAAGTGAAAATAAGGGTTCTACAAAAAAAAATCCATTACAATATAAAAGACGATAAATTGCAAATATATGGCTTATTAGTTTATAAGCTTCATTTTTTGTGTACATGAAATGTGATTTTCGCTAAAAAATATGTTGATTTCATATTCTTCCCTGACGTTCATTTATTATCATCCTTATATTTATGGCTGGAAGCCAAGATACCTCAGCCGGTATGGCGACTAGGCTACGGTCTGGACGTCTGGTGTTCGATTCCAGGTAGGGTTAAGAGATTTTCTTGTCTCCATAGCGTCCAGACTGGCTCTGCGGCCCACCCAGCTTCCTATCAGACGGGTATCGCGGGTAAAGCGGCCTGGGCGTCAAGCTGACCGCTCACATTCATCTATTTTGGAGGTCAAGATTCGTGGCGCTGTACCTGCACTCCATCTCTGCCTTTATTTCATACTGCTTAATTACTGGGATGTTCCCACACAGGAATGACTTTGCCCTTTATTTATGGTCTAGTTTCTTAACTTCGTATGTAAGAATTTCTTTTAGGGGTTCCGTAAAAAGTTTTCAAGTGCGAAAGGTTCCGTGGCCAAATTAAATCGGAAAACACTGCTCTATACTCGCAGAGTATTGATTACAATTATTGAGTTTCTTCACATTATCCGTCGTCCTGTTTTCTTATTTAAAACAGTACATATCGGACACTGGATTCTCTCTCCGTCTAAAGGGAAAAGCCTACTCAGTTGGGCCTAATCAATAGGGCTACTCCATATCCCTACTATGTATAAGATACTGCTCCTCAGTGTGCGCTATCCTCTGCTTCCTGCTTGTTTGTTTCGTCACTGTCTTCCTTCATAGAAGCTGGAAATATTTCATCTAAACTCAATAGGTAACGCAAGTGATGTACGGTTTTCACAGTGGTCTTCTGGATTGTGACACCCAACACTTCTGGGGAACTGGCTTGTGCCTCATTTCCAGTTGGGTCTGTGAGACTACCTCACTTTCAGTTTGCCCAAATAACGCAATCGATTAGTCAGCCTGCCCACTTCGACTTCGATATGGAGATAGCGTGTTCCTCCAAGACTTTTGTATCCACCCATTGTATTCGGGGAGGATACAATAGGCCTAACAGAAACCGTCATACCAAGTGGTCTCGGTCTCATCCCAACCGGGTGGAAGGGGAGTAACCAATGTCAGTCCTAAAGACCACAAATAAGAGACTTACTTTAACTAACGTCTATGTATGGCACAGCCCGTCAATAATGTAACAACTGTTCCTTTTTTTTTTTGTTCCTCCAATTTCACATTTAAAACTTAACACAACATGTTTCGGCCACAGATGGCCATCCTTAGGTGTCTCAATGTATCGAAACTGCTACACTGCTCTGATGTGCGCTAAAACCACGCGCTGAAGTCCGCTCATAAGGGGCGTCGTCCACCTGTTTGGAGCTATGTGATTTATTCCAGATGTTTTATTTCAGCGGCTTGTTTTTATGTTCGTTAGCCCGTTGTTCTGCCACTTCTTCAATCTTTAAAATGCCCCTTGCTTTTGTGTTGTTCTCTCTAGCAGGGTGTGGTGTTGTCTTCACTAGTCACTAGAGAAGACAACACCAGGATCCTGAAATACAGAAGAGACTTCCTGTTCACCCTGACAAACAGGAGCCACAAAATTTCATCATCATCGGCAAATCATGAGTCTTCCTTGGAAGATTTTACCAGATTGCAACCGGTATTCACTTTTTTGGATTTCGTGACTTAATAAACTGCTTGGAGGCCCGTGGTATGGATGTGGTATAGATTTGACATTAATTGTTTAGCTGGGGCCTCATCTTACAATGTATTTTGTCCGTTCTGTAGGGAATACAGATTGCAAAGTATCTATACCACGGGCCTCCAAGCAGTTTACTGTATGTATAGAAGTCTAGAATACACCATTATGTCCACAGGAATATAACAAAATTGCAACAACTGACTTCATGATATGTAATATCACACGAAAAGTTTTAACCTTATTTTATGTCATAACTTTCGTTTTTATAAGTTTATAGTTCATTGTATTTTTATACCACGTATTTTATAATGTAATAATTATCAAGTAGCCAGCTTCACTATCGCAATTGCAGTTCAGTGGTGTGTGTATGTGGTGATCGTGTGTTAGCCTGGAGATGGCTTTAATAGCCGAAACATGTAGCTAAGCTAATTTTAGCCTTGACCATTGTATTGTTGTGTTGCGACGGACTATAATAAAATAATTGCATATAATAACAAAACAGCATTCACGAAATTAAAAAAAAAAATCCTATATAATAGTTGATCACTACTAGGGTGGGGTGAATACCGTTCATATAAATTATTTGGAGATTGCCCGTAGGTGCTTCACAAATGTCGTAAAAAATATTATAACCGGAATGACTACATTACAAAAGACAAAATTTCGGGAAATTCTTGGAATTGTAAAAGTCAGTCAAATGGATTATAATTTCATATAGTTGACAGCGTTCTGAAAGATCAATATTTTCGAAAAGCGCATTCACGAACATTCGACATTTCGAAATATATTTCAAGTTCCTTAGATTGCGTACATGTGATAAATATGATAATAAAAATAAAAATAATAACCATAATAATAATAATAACAATAACAAAAATAATACTGTCCTGTGAAATTTGTACATCGATGTGTAGTGGGTTAGAGAATGGCAAATTAATTTGATTTAAAATGAAATTTTTGGGGTGCCAGAGAGCAGGGTTTAGCATGCTATTCAGTCTCTGAAGATTACACGTGAATAAATGAATAGAGACCATGACACACATGTTTTGGTTGCATCAGTGTAAGTAAGTGAAGTGGAAGTTACAATTAATGAAGATATTCTTGTATTTATATCTTAGCTTTGTGCGAAATATACAGTGATTTGTACATGTGTGTAATTGTGGTTACAAGAATGTCGACTGATATCGATTTTCCCCATAAAAGAATTGGCAATTGGCCTACTAATGAACATTCTTTATTTGCATCAAGAATATATGGTCTTAAGAAGATGGTGTCTATAGTGAAACTCAAGATGTTTTGATAACCTTCTTGCAGGCATGTGTGATAATTATTTGAAAAATATTCACAGTTATGTGTAGAAAGTGTGTCACAGTGTGTAAAATAAAGGTAGGCACGCGAATCATTTTGGAAATTTATTTATGGTGTGATACAGAAAGGGGTCTACGATTGTCTTCCATACTTTCTTGATCGCATGTTTTGTTATGTAGCACATACAATCACATGTCTGCTCTGGTTGTGTTATTTGAAGTGCGTGTAAGGAGATGGACTGTAAGTTGAAGTTGAAATTCCTTCTGAAGAAGGTGGTTTTCTAATCTCACTTTATAATTCTGTAATGCATACACCGATATGTGCTCTATATTTTGTCGTGTTTTCTCTAATGTAGATTTATGATTTCACTCAGTGGAATAAACAGTCTCCTAATCTCGTGTACATATTTTGTTTCCATCGAAGTTAAGTGCTTATAAGAATGTTGTGTTTATAGCAAATTACGCGTTTTCAATAATGTTATTATAGCAATCATATTTCGTGATATTTTGTAAACCCAGTAAATTGATATGCATCATTTGTGATATTACGTCCATGATGGAAAGTGATTTTTATTTTAGGTGTGTATTTTGGTGTTATGGACAACGAATTGTAGTTTCCACGTCTCCTCTTCTAGGCTTACATGTTTTTTTTTATGTAGTATACAGCATCACATAATTATTTTCTTTGCATCAATTAAAGAAGGGTGATGAAATTTCTTGCAATCACATCCTGGCCAAACAGCCGGTGACTTACAGACTTGGCCGCGTTATAAAATAATTCCTGATAAGACAGTTCCATTTTCTCTCGTGTAGATTTGTATTATTCTCATGTATTACTATACAAATTGTTCTGAATAATCTCAAATACAACGTATACAAATATAAATATAAAAATTATACACAGAGTTAGTGAGAGAGTGGTATATGCATACATACAAACAACACCGTTCAGGGTAAGTTAATGTTGTCCCCGTGCTTAACTAATTTAGCACTACGCCATGAAGGTCTATGGTGGAGTGGATGTATAGACCCACGTTTCTTTGACCTCATCACTAC